CCTCCGCCAGGAAGGGGCCCGAGGGCAAGTACCCGCTGCACTACCTCGTGTGGCACAACCGCCACCGCGAGCTGGAGAAGGAGGTCCGCGCTGGCCAGGTAGGATCGCTGTCGGGGAGCCGCGGGGACCCCGCGACCGGGCACGCCCGCCTGTCGTGGGGAGGGGGCGCGGCGCGGGCTGTCCCGCCCCACGGGCGAGTTTGCGGCGCTTCTTTGTTTGCAGCCGCGGCTTTTGTGTTTGTTGACCGGCCAGGGTGATGGGAGCGGCTCCCGCCTGTGCCCCTCCAGCCGGGCCAGGAGGCCCACACGTGTTCCGGACCCTCCTAGACGGGGGTAAGGGACACTGTGCCCCTTCTCTGACGGGGCGGGGAGGGGCTGCCAGGTCCGTCTGTGTTCCATGTGGTCAGAGTCCGCCCCACTCAGCCAAGCGGGGACACCTCCCGCGTGAGTGTGGGGAGATGGGAAAGGCCTGGGTGGGGAGGTGGGGGTCACAGGTCAAGGATTGGGCAAGGGGTTGTGTGACACTCCCTGGCATCGAACCCCACCCAGGGCCCCGTGCCCTCGTGCTGAGAGCTTCCTTAAGGTTGGGTAGAGCCCCTGGGTCCCTCAGCTCCCAGTTCTGGCTCAGGAATGGGGCGTAGAGGGATACCCTCTCTGAAAGCCTCTGAAGGGCCTTGTCCAGGTGCTGAAAGGGGCTCTCCTTCCCCTTGGTGCTGGGGCCTGGCTCCTTTGCTCTGAGGAAGATGGGGACTTCTTTGCTCTGAGGAAGATGGGGAGCCCTGGCCACAGGAATTGAGGTTGTAGATAGAGAGGGCTCCTGGTTTGTGCTTGTCAATGAGAATCTGAGTGAGGGCTCCTGGTTTGTGCTTGTCAATGAGAATCTGAGTGGGTCAGCCAGCTTTGATTGAACGGTGATCTTTAAGAAGACAGAAGGGTTGGAGTCCCCCACTCATTCTTTAGGGCCACGGCAGGCACAGGGCTGCCTCAGCTCTGCCTTTGACACTCAGGCCATGTGGCTTGGCCAAGTCACCCATTAGGCTGAGGAATAGGGGCAGCCTTAGTTGGCATCTCCAGACTTGACCTGGGTCTGAGACCCTTGCGAGAGCGAGGGCTAGGAGTGGTTCGCTCAGCAGTTGGGAATATGCCTTCTGAGGGCCACCTCCTGAGTCACAGGAAGTTCATGGAGGATCTGTCCACCTCCCAAGGAAGGAGCGGGTGTTGGAGGGCAGGACGTCACCAGGCAGTAATTGAGATGAGGGTCAGTGTATGTCTCTGAGATTCCCACTGAGTCCCCAGGCCATATAGTCCAATAAATGTCAGGGTGACAAGCTTCCAAGCCTCTGGGTTGGTGTGGGGTCCACTTCCTTTCTACCTTTGCTTACACAGAACAGTGTGTCTGTTTATCTATCAGAAAGGAAATGGTTTGCAGCCCTATAAGGCTTGGTAAAAGGGTACCAGACCCTGTGGAAGTAGGAACAAAGATGAACAAACAAAGCTTAGCCCCTGCTCTTAAAGAGCTCTCCCTCTGCTGTGTGAATACAGAATGCTAACACAGATGTGCCAGGAGGGTCTCTTTTTTGTCTCTTTTCTGTTTGCTTTTCCTGAGGAACACAGGTCTGATAGAAGTTACAGCTGAAGGGGTATAAGTTTGACCTGAGAAGAACTTCCTGATTGTCCAGAATTAACCTAGTGGCTGAATCTCCAGAGTGTCTCCTTCCTACTCCCTGGGCTGAGGGGTGGGTGGATCTTTTCCTGCAGAGACTTGAAGCAGCAAAATACCCTGGGAGAAGAGACTCACACCCAGGCCTCTCTGGCTGAAGGCTTAAGGTCAGCAGCCATCTTGCTGGGGTGGATAGCATGGTATCGGCCGCAGGTCACAGCACTGGGGCTCCCTGAGTGTGTCCCTCTTCTCCTCTCAGACTGACGGAAAACAGGCACCAGGTTCACCTCTGTCCACACCCTCCTGACCACTCTCCTCCCTTTGCCCTGGAGAATTAGTATCTCCTTGAAATGGACACCACTTGATCATGGCCAGGGTGAATGTAGGGCACTGGTTGAGGTTAACTCTTGCATAGTCACAAAAAGGACACATTAGTTCTCCCTTCCTTCTGGGAGAGCCAAGAGGGGCAGCCTGAGTGGGACTCAACCCCAGGACCAACCCCAAGTGATGCTTAGACCAAATGTACCGGCTTCGCCCTCAAGGTGTCTGATCCTCTGGGGAGAAATGAGAGTGCCCAACCTGAGTGTTTCCTGCAAGGGATAGGTGTTGGTAGCTACATAGCCTCCTGGTATCCCAGCAGGGTGGGGAGGTCCCCAGCTTCTGGTGCTTCTGGCACTGGCCATTGCGGAAGCCAGCCAGGCTTCCCTCAAATAGTCAGCTGTGGTTCTTCTCTGGTCTCTACTTGGCATGGCTGCCTCTTCTTTACTCCTGAAAAGCCCAGTAGAGGTCCTGCTCTGGACAGGGTTGGCAGCCCGGACCAAAGAGAGAGAAGACGTAGAAGACTCTAGAGCAAGTAAATGGATTTTGCTGAGCCCCCGCCGTTAGCTCATCTGGGGGCTAGAAGTCAGGGTGGTGGGCAGATAGTAGGTGCTTGGCAGGCATGTGCTGGATGAAGGGAAGGCACCTGGCACTGTGATGGTAGCTGAATGCCTTCCTGCCATGTGTATTCAGGTCCCTTATAACCTGGGAGGAAGCAGGGGATTGTCGGCCAGCTCCTCCCTGCCTGGTATGACCCTGAGATTGGCATAGCCAGCTGGGTATGACCTGAGTTTCTAGTTCCCCCTGAGGGTGGAGTTAAAATGCACAGCTCCCTGGGGGGATGACTTGTCGGGAGGGATGAGGGAAGCCTTGGTTACAGGAACTCTGGAGGGGACAGAAGAGGAACCTCAGCCTGGACTGTATCCTCAGGACAGCTTCCTTTCTTCCTGGGATCATCCACTACCGTCCTCCTTCTGTTTCCTCTGCTCCTCCTCCTGACCTCGAGGCAGTTGAGATTGGGTTAGTTTGTTCCTGGACACCCAGATAGTCCCTCTCCCAGTGAGGTCACAGATGAGGCCCAGGACTTTAGGAAGCACCTGTGACCCAAAGTGACAGTGTTGGGTGTGGGCATCACCACAGCTGGTAAGGTGGGAAGCTCAAAAGAGGGAGCCACAAACCCCAGAAACCAAAAATCAATTTGCTCTGTGATGAGGGGGCAGGGCTGAGGGAGAGTCAGCAGGGCGAGGTCACCACCGCGCCACAGCGTCCTACCCACCTTGAGGAAGCACCCCATCACCCTCTCCCTAGAGTGAGCTCAGGGGTATCTGTTCACATCCCTTTTAAGGCGGGAGACCTGAGAGGTAATTGACTGGACCAGGCCCAGGAGAGGAGCTGAAAGTACCAGGGCTCCTCACCACTCTCCTTTCACCATCCATGTTTAGTCTACACGTTTGGTGTGTCCTTTTAAGATTTCTCTTAAGGTGCTGCTGATGCTGAATGCGTTTGAAAAACAACTTGCTAGTGCATTGGGTATGAAGGTGTGCGTGAGCAAATAAATAGTCTGTCAGTGAGCACATGGTACAGCCAAGGATACTTTCTGCAGAGCCACAGCGCAGTGGGCTCCTGTGTGTTTGTCTGTTTAGGATCACACGTATACTGTGTCTGTGGAGGCATATATAATATGCATTCTTATGGAACATGTGTGTATTTGTGTTTGTAAGACTGGGAAATTTCTCTGTGCAGGAAACACCACCTTCTCAGCCTCAGAGACTCCCCTTTTTGGCTTTAACTGAGGCATGCTGAGATGAAGTGGCTCTTGATCCTTTCCATGCTGGCTTTGGTAGGGAGGGCTAGGTGTTAGGTTTCATGAGAAACCTTTTCATTCCTGCAATTAAATAGCTGTAAACCTTTGCTGGGGAAATTAATAAATTCTCCCACCTGGGTCCAGGGCAAGGTGCCACTTGTGCACTTGTGTGCCAGCTCAGGGCTGGTGGGAGATACTTCTAGGCCTAGTCCTCTTGGTGCAGTGGTTAATGCACATGGCTGCTAACCGAAAGATTGGTAATTTGAACCCACCAGGAGAAAGATGTGGTTGTCTACTTAGTAAAGATTATGGCCATGGAAGCCCTGTGGGGTCTTTGTGAGTCAGATTCAACTCAGAGGCAGTGGGCTGGGCTTATGACTGGGTGTATATGGAGTCCACATTGTCCCTGGGAATTAGCAGTGCCCTGATGAGGCTGGTGGGATGAGCTCCTGAGCAGTGGGGAGGCAGGGACAACCTCTCTCTAGATCTGGAGCTGAGGCACCTGGGGTGGATGGGGGGAAGGGCAGGCAGCCTCTGGAGCCCTGAGCTTAGCGAGTGTCCTGTCAGCTCCCTGGAGCCTTATTATCATTGGCAGCAGCATCTGAGGCAGGGCAGGTGGGAGTCTCAGCTGAGTCCCAAGGCCCCTTGGGAAGGGCTCTCCGGGCTTTCCCAGCCAGCCCAGGGTCTGTGGTTTTGCTGCTGTTGCTCCTGCTGTAAGCCTAGGGCTCTGGTCCCACTTAGATGTGGGCTGAAGGACACAACCTAGCCTGTGATGGGCAAAAGGAAAACTGCTCCAGCGTCTCTATTGGGAGCGGATATGACGATATGACGGCGCAGCAGGGAGCCTGTTAACAGGTCTCAGCTCCAAGCCACAGCCTCTCAGGGGGCCCAGGAACACTTTTGTTCTGAGACTCTCAGTATACTTGACCTAGTGGATAAGGAGTTTATTCTGCCAACTCCAAGGCACATGGTTCAAATCCACCAGTGGGTCCTCAGGAGAAAGACACGCAGTCTCCTCCCGTGTGATTTACAATCTCTGAAAACCTGCTGGAGGGTCAGATATGAGTCATTTCCTACTTGATGGCACATGACAACAACTTAATAGACTTAGAATTTAAAATGCCAACTTGAGGTTAAAAAATTATATAATGAAAGTGTTTTATTTTTTACAAAAAGTTCATACTCGGGCCTTAAAATATTGAAGTGCTGTTAGAAGTGTTTGAAAAAGAGCCTTACTCTCTCTACCTCTCCCACCTTCCCATCTCCTTCTCCAGAACTGAGTTTAAACTCTGTGAGCTGTTTTCTCCTCCTTCTCCA